AAAAAAAAAAGAAGTAGAAAAAACACAAAGAGCATGAAACATTTGATTTTCCCCATGCATTTGAGCTGCTGATGAGTTTGACCCAGTCCATGCGAGATGTGGTTTTTCTCAGATGGGCCAGTAATCTGTGTGCTGATCAGCTCCATGTCATGGACGTCATGGCAACAGCAGCTGATGCTGTAATAACGCACAGTGTGTTGTCAAGGGCCGCTGTGTGATTGTACCTCCGCTGTATGTCAACTCCATTTCCCCACTAATTACACTGGATGAGCACAAAGCGTCATGATACACAACATCCTTACATTGTGTCCTCATGCTATTAATTGTCATGGTTTGAAGCCAATTTGTTGTTTTATTTGTCTGTACGCCATAGTCTTAGAAGTAGCTCAAATATTGTCAGTCAATGAATGAATCAATGCTAATGGGTGATATAAATTAAATTTATACAAGACCACAGAGAGATGGTGTTAATGTGTGGCGTTTTTTTCTCTGTGTCAGGGGAAGCCGACAGTGCTGCATTCTCAGTTCAGACTGACCTACACCATGATCCTGAATCTGCTGCGTGTGGAGGCCCTGAGGGTCACCGACATGATGAGGAGGAGCTTTTCTGAGAACCACAGGGATACGCAGGTAAACGGCCTCATTTCCCAGCAGCCCTTGGGTGACATTGAAATGTCTGTGGGGTCTGCATGCCCCAGTAACTGCCTCGGTAATTCAGTCTTACAAAAGGCGTAAATATGAAATATATGATGAAATGTTATGAAACTCTTTCGGTTAGCCAAGTCATTTTCTGTCTTTGTGTTGCTCAGGCTCATGAGAAGAGAATAAGTGAGCTGAGAAACACACTCTCATCTCTCCCTCCGCTGGACACAGAGGGGCAGTTATCTGATTTAGTGTCATATTACCACACCATCACAGAGCTGTGCATCACCACAGAGACCCTGCAGGTGCACGCACACAAACACACACATTTATATGAGCACAGTGTACGCTATCACAGAGCTCAAACACTGGATTCACAGCATTTGGCCGATTACATGCATTTGTAAACCAGCTAAGAAAAACCTTGGACAGTTGGGTTC